AGTCGTGATGGTGCTGTGACACTTGCATTTGGAGTACTAATATCTCACCGTACTTTGGTAACAAAGGAGATACTTGGAAAATAATATTACGATAGTAGACACAACAGTACGATAGGCAAGTCTGGACATATCACCTCTGACCAGGCGGTACACCGCTCATGGACTATGGATTGTGGCATAAATTGTAAGGATTTGGCGAGTGCACTATATTGACCAGATCCTAACAAATAACTATCCAAAGTTGAAGAGAACATAAAATGGGGACCCCAAGAAGATCCTGGGCCCCTGCGCATGGCAGGCATTTGCGTCGACTACATATCGGTCCAGCTTCACCTTGACTTCTCGAGCCGCGTTCTGTCAACGCACTTGAGGAATTCCTCCATGGTTGCGTCGATTTTCACTTGGCCAGTGCAGCGAAACGCGGCGGACATGCAGTCTTGCGTGTTGACTCCGAGGCGGCCACAATGTTCGTTGAGCTGTCTGTCCACCTCCTCGATTGGATGGGCGGGTTGTCCGGCCTGTCCGGGCTGTTTATCGGGTGCGGGAATCGTAGTGTCGTCAGATGCATCGACGTCGGGTTTATCGACGGGAAGTGCAGTAACTCTGTCGTGTCCAGGTACATCGACCACGTCCGACACCGCGGGCGAGGGAAAATCGCTGGGGCCTTCGTTTTGCGCCGTAGGGTCTGCAACCGCCGGACAGTCAGTTGGCCTCTCTGTCTTGCCTGAATGTTGGGCATTCGAACTTGATTCTGCTTGTGCTTCTTCAAAGTCTCCGGAATTCTGGGGTTGGCCTGACTGTGTGGCAGTCGCATTCACGTCTGAAAACGGAAGGGCACCCTCACCGTCTGTTTGTTCCTGTGTCTCATTCGGATAATACTTCTGGAGGCAAGAATATATTTGGCTGTCACGTTCGGCAGCTGGCCCGTTTGCTGCCTCTTGACGGCACGTACGAACACGGTCTTCGCAATCCCAATCGTTAACAAGAGAGAGGCAAAACCTCGTTGCGAATTGCAAGAAAGGGGGTAAATCCAGATACGTCTTTCTGAGGCAAGAATCCATCCCATTTTTCCATTCGTCACCAGGTTTCAACTGCTCTGCCTCGACCCAGCACTTTTTAATTTGTTCTTTACAATTTGCCTGGTCATCCTCCTCAGCCACTTCGCAAATGCGGTTGGTGTAGAAGGGAAAATATTCTGTGAGCCCCGGGGGAACAGGTACCGATTCC